AGTAAATACTGCAGCTGTCACTGAATGCCAGAAGATATTGTAGAACCAGAAAAGTAAGTTTGACTGTTCATTGAGCTTAGCATGGTTTAAAGAGCCGATTCCTGTAAAAGAAATCTGTAACAAGATAATTAGGCTGCCATTGATATTGTTACTGCATGGCCCTTGCAGCTGCCTGACTATACATTCTGCTGAATAGTGACTGCAACTGATAGGATTTCAGCTGACTTTGAAATGGACGTTTTGTTGCTTGCAGGGTCACCCAAAGCTTGAATTGTGGCTAATTTAGCAGGAATCGGCTGAAATTCTAACCCTCTATTGCGGTCCTAAACTAGTGTAAACCTTTTGTGAAGTCAGAGCTTTTGCTGTCTTGTTCCGCGTTGGTGACTAAAAGTATTAATGGCTTTGGATCATAACCAGGCAACTAGGTTTTTGTTTTTTTTTTTTTTTTTTTTTTAGGAGAGGTAAGCTATGGTGCCTATGTATGTTCTCACAAAAAGGTTTTCTTGAGCGCCAAGGATAAGTTCACCTTTTGACCAAAAAAAAAAAAAAAAAAAAAAAAAAAAAGCAAAAACACATTTTTGCAGGTAATAAAAATGTGGATTTATTATTCTTTTCTCCAGGAGCCAGTAAAGCATTGCCCCAGCGATCAGCAATTGCTGGTGCCATGCAGGTTTCCTGCAGACCTTGCAGTATATCTGCTTGCCCGTACAGGAAGAAGCAATGAATTACCATTGCTAGTTGAGAACTACAATCTGGCAGCTAAGAACTCTGAATGATGTGGCCATGTGGGCGGAGCCACACACAGCAACTCTGTTTTTCAAAAGTGACAGCTTGTACAGGGAACTTCTCCCTGTACTGTTCTCACAGGGGGGTAAATCAGGCAGAGGCTGCAGCATTGGGAACATGTTACATTACATGTTCCACCCTAAAAACAGTTGGAATATGTAACATGATCCAAAACGTGAACTTATCTTTTAATTCCCCACCACTAAGTGTCCATTGCTCATTTAGCATAGGGGATAAAATACTTGCTGTATTCCTCACTCCCCCAGTAGTTAACACTCTTCAAAAATTGTGGATTTGAGCATTTTGTCATTTACCCCAAGTTATGTAAAAGGAAAAGGTTATAACTATAGGCAGAAACTTTTCATTTTGGATAGCTTTACAGAGTTATAACCTGTCATTTTTTTGCCAAGTCCCATTGAGGAGATTTACCTTCAGTTCCTGTCCCATAACCAAAACAGGAAGTGAGAGGAAAGCCCTGCAAATTAAGGTAAATCCTTTGGACCCCCAGGTCACCATTTCCCTTCTACTACTTGACTGGGGACAACCCAAAATTTGGGATTTTCTTATACTTTGAATGATAATGGTAAACAGGCCAAACAGAGAAAGTGAATCTCCCCAACGGGGACACAAACAGCAAGAAAAACCTAATAGGTGTTCTTATCTCCACTATCTAAAAATAAAAGTTTTGCCCTTAGTTGTACTTTAAATCCATATACCTTACAGACCCACCACCAGCAAAACCTTTTTGGACACAGCATTGAAGGGTTTGAGCCTCATGTTCTATTGCTGCCTTATCCCTGTTGAGATTTCTCCTCTCTTCCTGTCAGCAGAGGAAATGGGAAATCTCCCCAACAGGAAAAAAAGGCAAAAATATTTAGAGAAAGGATATAACTTCCGACAATGGTTTTACTACTCTCTCTCTCTCTCTCTCTCTCCCTGGGCTGATAACAAGTGCTGTTCCTATTTCTTGTCCTAGCGTCACAGGAAGTGAATGAACATCTACCCAATAAGGCTCATGGACTAAAATGAAAATCTACCGATGTTTCCCCTTCCCTACTATCCAAAAAGGAATCTAAGAACAATGTTGGCTGGTGTTGAGCTTTCATTTTTCTCTGTAGAGCTATTATTCCCACCGTTGTCTACTTCACCATTCTTGCCATCGTTTACATTTCACTTATTTTTTTTCTTTGGACATTAACCAAAAACACAAATCTTCATTTTCCCCCACTAAAATTAAGCGACTTTCAAAACTTGTATTTTTGTACTTCCTTGTTCCTTACAAATCAAACTTGTAAACTTTCTCACCAAGTTTCATATCTGAATCTTTTCTTTTCTAGTAATTAAGGAGAATATATTTTGCTCTAGAATAGATTATCAGATTTTAGATGCATAGTCTTCAGGAAACGGTTAGGTGCTTAATTTCCTATACAGAGGGATTATTGAAAAAAAAAAAAAAAAAACCCACACACAACAAACCCTGAAGTCACCCTCTAAGCTTTCTGGCTGGCATAACTGATCATAGCCTGCATTATAATATTCTCATTCCCAGGCTTCTGGATAAAATAAATGCGTACATTTCCATACTGAGAACTCTAGGTACTTTCCACCATGAAGCTGAATGACAGTTATTATACTATGATTTTTAATATTTTGCATGAAACATCTGTGTAGCAGTATGAGCAAGTATTTTTGGACACATACAAAATAGTTTCACTATAGCAACCTCTTCTGACAGTTGATTGACAAAAGATATTGCACTGTTGAGGCAAGCATTGAAGATTGATCTGCAGATAGATAAAATAAAAAAAAAATGCTGCGCAACAATATATACAGATATGGTGCTAACAATAGAATATGTGCAACTGAAAAAAACATATATAGGACCCCATAAACTGCACATAACTGATGCTATAAACTAATTGTGCACACAAACAACAAATAAAATGTCCTTAATAATGAACTGTTCCTTAAAATCTTGAACATCAGCACGTGGACTTATGTGGTATATATCCTATAAATCATGATCCACATACACAAACTACAAGTGTCATCCGAATACGGTCTCAAAAAATGGTGAACTGTCCCTTTAAATCTGCTGTATTTCAAATAGACCAGTGTAACACTACTGTATAAATGTGTACGGTGGTCCTGTGTCACCCCTTAATGCTCTCATCCACTTGGAAGTGAGCGCAACAGAGTGCTGAAAGTGGATGAGCACTAAAGGGTGACACAGGAGCACCGTACACATTTTTACATTGTGTTACACTGGTCTATTTGAAATACAGAGGATTTAAAAAAAGGGACGGTTTACCATTTTTTGAGACCGTATTCGGATGACACTTGTAGTTGATGTATGTGGATCACAATTTATAGGATATATACCACATAAATCCACGTGCTGATATTCAAGATTTAAAAAAGGGACAGTTCACTATTAAGAACATTTTATTGGTTGTGTGCACAACTCGTCGTTTATAGCACCGGTCATGTGCAGTTTATGGGGTCCGATATGTGTGTATTGGTAAGACATCTGGTATAGCACACAATGATTTTCACAAGCAGAGTTTTTTGTTTTTTTCATTTGCACATATTATATTGTTAGCACCATATTTGTATATATTGTTGTGCTGCATTTTTTAAATTTTATGTTTTACATGTGGGAACACATTATATGCTAGCCACACAAGTTCTTTAGGAGGTCCATAGCGCTGAGGGTTTTCTATACACACCTGCAGATAATAGCATGCAGTGTAAAACACCTACAGATAAGCTAAGTATACATGTACAGTTTTTTCGCCAGCAGGCTAAAGAAAAAAAAAACAAAAAAAAAAAACACCCCACACACCACCACAACTGACAGATCTTCACATCAATACAAGAAACATTGGTGTAGGGATCTCTCCAGCTGTTCTATTGTATTTTAACAGCATGGACTTCCCACCGCCATCAGAATATGCACATCTGCACTTGCAGCCATTGGCAGCCAGCGCTGACTAAATATTGGTTTTCCAGCATGTCCGTTCGACAGAAGCTAGTTATTAGATTGGCTTCTGTTGAATAGACAGCAGAACACATATCGAAACTTGGTCGGTTCCTTCTGAACCAGCTGAATTTCATTACTTGTGTACCAAGCTTTAGGCATATCAGCAAGCATGAGGCGCTAAAGAAAGCCTGGACGCACTGGACACATTCCCTATCCATCCCCTACATTTGGTCATGTGATGCGACTTCTGACATTGCTCAGATGTAACAACTTTTCTTATTACGGATAAAAGCTCATAGAGTGAAAAAACTTCACTAGACATTTGCCTTTACACAAATAATTTTAGAGCCTTGAATTTTTCAGCATGGATTCTATACATTTGTCCCTAATCTACCATATAAAGTTTGTAACACATTTTTCCATATTAGCTGAAAAGTTGCCCACTATTTAGCCACAGATTAAATTAACGAGGTCCCAAAAAGTGCTTAAAAAGTAGGCACCACTGTTTATATTATTTGAACTTATAGCTAAATAAAATACTAACTGCTTCAAGACAGCATCAGCTAAAATTATCAAAAGAAAAAAAAAAAAGTCATAAAAGGCTCCCTGATTACATATTCAAAGAGAAGAAAATTGAGAGATTAGGGATGTATGTGGTTTGAGACCGTACCACTGCTACAAGACAGCCACAGATGCATTTTTCTTTAAGATAAAAAATAGTTTTTGATTTTAAGGTTTCTGTAGAGGGGTCCATACCAGAAGTCTAGCTAACAGTGATTTTCACAAGTTGGTGACCTATAATAAACACATTTAAATGATATTAAAATCATATCACAAGAACTTTAGCCAATATCCAAACTCCTTTGTTAGGTGACAAAATAGACATTTCCATGAAAATGTGGTTTGGTTGCGACAATAAATGAGGGGCTAAGCCTTAAAGTCTTCACACATATGTAAAGGACAAGTGTAGCATACCACTTGGAAAAAAAAACTGCTAAAATTCTCATATAATCAGTCACAGTTGAGTCTGCAAGACAGAGGTAAGACCATTTTTAAAATCAAATTCAAGGAGTGTAGAGGTGAACAAATGTAAGTGGAGTAGATTTAAACAAAGCAGAAGTATTTCTTCCATCTGCATTTCGAAAGTCGTTTAAAACCCTTTGAACTCAGTTTTTTCTCCAATCGTGCCTTGTGCTCAATGGCACTGAGAATGGCTGTGTCAAACACCTCTTTAAGGTTTTTTCTGAGTCAGTGCAGAGCATTCAACATATGTATGAGCTCTGATTTTCTGAGCCACAGCCTGTGCTTGGGACTCACTTACAGGCTTGACACGGCAACGGTTTAAATTGATCAACACATTCACATCATCTCTGAGGTCTGTTTGAGTTCCAACTAATACCACTGGAGTGTGGGGGCTGTGTGTGCGGATTTCTGGGATCCATTTTTCAGTGACATTCTGAAATGAGCTAGGATTCACCACACTAAAACAAACACACCAGAAAGACATCGGTCTCAGGGTAACACAAGGATCGAAGATGGTCAAAGTCCTCCTATTTAAAAAAAAAAAAAAAAAAAAAAAAAAAAAATATTGGTTTTATTCAAAACAGAACTAGGACTCATGCCATAAGAGTAGTCAGATCTGATAGTGTTTCAATGCTATGGATTTCAGTTACAGCAGCTGTCCCCTCAATATAGAGTTAAGTGAACAGTATATGGCAAATACAATGCACAGCAAGCAGGACGTGGTTAGATGATATGAAGAGGCACCATTCATAGAATGAGAAGCCAATGCCGTACCTTGAACAAAACACTAAAAAATATTTCTTAAACGGTTTATTTCAGAATGTATTGAGGTTTGCTCAATATTCTTGAAAGCCTGTTAAATTAATCTAACTGGGCCAACTTACATTGTTAAAGATGCATGATGTGAAAACCCATTCAGTTTCTTTTTTTTGGGGCATTCTATGGTGTCACCTTAGACCATGGCTTGCGGTCTTACGTCTCTAGATGCCAGTGATGTCAACTCAGCCTCACCACTTGCCCCTGTCCCCACACAACTCCTCCGGTCACCCTCCTCCTCCATCCTACGCTCCCTCACCCACATCTTAAATCTCTCCCTCTCTACTGGCGCATTCCCCTCCCCCCTAAAGCACGCGCACAAACACCCCCATACTCAAAAAACGCTCCCTGGACCCCGCCGACCTGAACAACCTTAGACCCATCTCCCTGCTGCCATTTACTTCCAAGCTCCATGAGCGCTTAGTCTACAATCGCCTAAATGCCCACCTCACTGACAACAACCTCCTCGATCTACTACAGTCTGGCTTCCGCCCCCTTCACTCCACCAAAACCGCCTACTCAAAATCACCAATGACCTACTAACTGCCAAAGCTAATGGCCACTACTCAGTCCTCTTACTCCTCGACCTTTCCGCGGCCTTCGATACAGTTGACAACCCCCTCCTCAAACTACACTCCCTCGGCATTAGAGACTCCACTCTCTCCTGACTCTCCTATCAATTCCAACGCTCCTTCAGCGTTACCTATAATGCTACCACCCTCCCCCGCTCTGTTGGGGTCCCCCCCAAGGCTCTGTCCTCGGGCCCCTTCTCTTCTCCATCTACACCTCCTCCCTCGGCAAACTGATACACTCCCACGGCTTCAACTATCACCTCTACGCAGATGACACGCAAAATTTACCTCTCCTCACCCCTTCAGTCTCCACCCATATCACCCACCTACTGAACGACAGACTGGATGTCACTCCATTTCCTCAAATTGAACCTTTCCAAAACGGAGCTCCTCCTGATTTTCCCCCCCCCCCACCCTCTCCATCACGACCAACGCCACCATCAGTCCCACCCCGCAAGCCAAAGTCCTAGGTGTCACTCTAGACTCAAACCTGTCCTTCCAACCCCATGTCCAATCGTTGGCAAACTCATGCAGGCTCCACTTCATCTCCCAAATATAAGCTCCTAACCCCAGACACTATTAAACAACTCGTTCACTCCATTATTATCTCATGTCTGGACTACTGCAACTCCCTTCTCACCGGCCTACCCCAACACAGGCTATCCCCGCTTCAGTCTATTCTGAACTCAGCGGCCAGACTCATCCACCTTACCAACCGCGCCGCTTCTGCCACCCCCCCCGTCATTCCCTCCACTGGCTCCCGATTGCCCAACGCATTCAATTCAAACTACTAACACAGTCATACAAAGCCATTCATAACGCTGCCCCAAACTACCTCACTGACCTGATACCCAAATACCACCCAACCTGTACTCTTCACAAGACCTCCTACTTTCTAGCTCCCTGGTCTCCACCTCCCGCGCCTGACTGCAGGACCCCCCCCCCCCCCCCCCCCCCCCCCCCCCCCCCCCCCCCCCCCCCCCCCCATCCTCTGGAACTCACTAACCCAATCCATCAGACTGTCACCTAACCTCCTCACCTTTAGGCGCACCCTGAAAACCCATCTCTTCAGGGAAGCCTACCCAGCCCTCACCTAACAGCCGATCTCCTCCACTCCATCCCCTACAGCCACTTGATCCTGGACAACTATCCCTTCCCTCCTAGATTGTAAGCTCGAAAGAGCAGGGCCCTTAACCCCCTCGTGTTTTGTTTGGTTACTGTATTGTCTCATGTTCTGTCCCCCACTATAATGTACAGCGCTGAGCAAACATTTTAGCGCTATATAAATACTGTATAATAATAATAATAATAATAATAATAATAATAATAATAATAATAATAATAATAATAATAATGGTATCCTGGTGAGACAAGAGGAAAAAAAAAAAAAAAGTGAGTGATCCCAAATCTCACAACAAGGCACTTTTTTGTGCAGGAGCGTAGTTTGGTGAGATTTGGGGTGCTCAGTCTTTCCAGGATCCTGCGAAGAGGCCAAGTGCTGTCATGGCTACCTTGGAGAGGGCACCAAAAGCTGTGGTGTAAGGCAAGCATTTTTTTTCTCCACAAATATATTCGTGTGAGTGGTAAGGGCTAAGAAAAGCCCCTACCTTTGCTTTTCAAGGTCTGATTAAACTCCACACTTCATACGAGTACACAATCTAAATTACCAGAATGCATTAATGCTATTATGTGCATTTTTTAAAGCTCCTATAAAACAGTTTAGCATTTCTTAAAGCGACCCTGTCTCTAGAGCAAACCCTACAGTAACTGCTGTTAACGCTTCTAATGTTCTATTACAGCTGTGTAGGTTAAACAAATGTCCTACAAATATGAAAGAGAGCTTCTATAACTAATTTTTAAAGTCTATAATTATGTATATAATACGAAGAATACTAAGGTGTATGAAATAAGAGCTGGGATCCTCATTTAGTGCCATTTCTATTTAGTCCCTGCTAGTTGTATGACAACAAGCAATATAAGCAGGTTTATGGGGCAATACACATTAGAAGCACACTGTGGTAGGCCTAGCTATTTGCTACAAACAATATGGTAGGAAGAGACGGTAAAATAAGAGGCGTTTAACAAGCAAGCATAAACCACTAAAAGCAACAAAGACAATGCAGGAGGTACTGGGACCAATTTCCAACCTATAATTGACTGAGGAAAGAATATTCTTGCATGTTCTTACTGACTTACAGGAAGTAGTTACATTCAGGCTCACTCACTGGTGTAAATGTCTTTATTATGAACAGTGCAACGTCTTGTAAAATATTAAGCCTTACTCAACTAAAAAAAAAAAAAAATAAATAAAATCTACAGCCAAAACTTTACTCTTGGTTAGATTTGGGAGTGACTCCTGACCCTCTGTCTGGACAGTGTTGATTGGCCCAGTGCTGATCACATGCTCTCTCTCTCAAAGAAAAAGAAAAAAAAAACCTCTAGCAATACACACCAATTAGAGCATTTGCAGACTGAGTGCTAGAGCTCTGTACAATCAACCGATTGATTGGGGACAGTTGAAGGGGAGAATCAAGAGAGGATTCAAATAGCCTTTTTACTCAATGTGGAGGATTAACCTCTTAGGTTACAAAAGGGAGTATAACACGCAAGCTTTACTGCGCATACAGACTGATTTTACGTTTGTGGGTTTAGGAACACTAAGTCGATTAATTTTGACTAGTGTAGGGAATGACCAAACCAACTGTCAGTTTTTTTGTTGCTGTGTCTTCTGTTGCAGAGAATTACTTATTTACTGCCCTGGAGGTGTAACAGGAAATATGAGTGTAGTATATGTGTTGAATAGCTACAGCGAAAAAAAAAAAAAAACACCACTTGGTACCAATGTAGCTGAAGGGGCCCATATTTCAGCATGTAAAAATAAAGGATTATTCTCTTTGCATACCTGTCCTGCTGTGTCACAAAGTTGAATTCGAACAGGAGCTTCATCCACCAACACTTGAACTGAAAGAGAAAATATATATGTTGACTTCGCTTGGATCTAATTTAAGCAATGTCAGAGGTATTTTAATGAAATGTTTAACACTGGTTTAAAACAGAATTCTACACATTGATAACCTTATTGTCTTATATTTAGTTACCCCCTTGCTGCCCACTCCCTCATCTAGGCATATATTAATTTAAGTCTATTGTGCAACTATTTTATTGCCTAGGGCAGAACCAAACATTATTTGATAGGTCAACCATTTTAGTAAAAAAAAGCAGTACTGTAGCACCAGTATTGCCTTTTTTTTTACTAAATCTTGCAATAAACTAGCATTCCATAAAAAAAAAAAAAAAAAAAAAAAAAAAAAAAAAAAAAAAAAGAAGGATTACCAATTTACCAATTCCTACATCTGAGGGCTGCAATCATTTTCTTTTGTAGGCTTCTATATTCATCTGGTGATCCATCCACCAAGTCTGTTTTTCAAAAGCACAAACTCTCCAGCAGAATGTGCCCCCCTATGCTCTTTCGTCCAGAATGGGGGCACTCTAATACAGGTGGTGTGTTACCGGTCACATCACCAGGTGAAAACTGAGGGAAAAAAGCCTGTACAAGAAATCTAATGCAGCCACCACATCTAATGAGTGGCAAACTGCAATAGGTTACAGTTTTGGTTTTGCGGTCAATACCGGTTTGACAGTTTTTGACCACAGTGATGAGCAGAATCAAGGACAACGACAGATGGGCCCAGCACCCCGGAGCAACATGGTTGCCAGCATCCCGGAAGTGATGAACTCAAACATAAATTCCCCAACAATTTGGATTGGGACTTTAAGAGCAACCCAGAACAATAGAAAAATTATCAAATCATTTTATTCAAAAAACATGTGAAAGAATATCATGGTGTAACAGATAACATTCATATAAAAACCTACATACAGTATCAAAAATGAATGGTCTGTATATATAACTTGCTTTAAGCTGAGACGATGTTGCAGCTTCTCCTACAACTCATAGGACAGTAAGGGTGGAGTAAGCTTCAGCAGAGAACCCAACGCATTTCAGAACATAAGTCTCTCTTCAGGGGTATGCTGAAGGAGAAGATGGCCGGCAAAAACATTCTACAAACTATAGTGGATATAGATCAAAATCACA